TAATAAGCAATTAAAAATGCTTATGGAGAGAGAGAAAAGAGAGAACCTCAGTGAGAGTTTTGCAGTTTTGGCAAAAGGCATGTTTTTCAAGTGAGAAAAGAAACATATAAGATATAAAAGAGCAAGCCTGCATAACAGTCAAGAGGACAGAAAAAACTAACAATAAGCGCAAGCCTGTCTCCCAAAACAGCAAGCCTGCCTCCAACTCAACCTGCATAACCTTCAAGCTTCCCAACCTGTAAACAAAAAAAAAAGTACAAGCCTGTTTCCAAAACCAAAAAAAACCAAAACCTACAGAAACTTGCTTGCAAATCCAAAAGAGCACAAGCCTGTTTCCATAACCAAAAACACAACAGAATAGAAAATCTGCCTCCAACTCACCACAAGCCTGTTTCCAAACTTGTCCAAAGCTCAACAAACCTGTAAGAACTACAAGCTCAAACAACAAAAAAACCTGCAAGCAAAACTTGCAAGCCCAAAGCAAATCTGCAATTTCCAAAACATAAAACTAACAATAAGCCTGCCTCCAAAACTCCAAGCTTACAAACCTGTAAGCCAAACTCACAAAACTGCAGAACTGTAAGCTGCAAAGCTACAAACCTGTTTGTAACCACAAAAAACTCAACCAGCAAACCTGCTAACCAAAGCATTACAAACTGCTAAAACTGTAAAGCTAGAGATTTGCCTGCAACCACAAAAAGCCAAAACCTACAGCCTGCAAACTCAAGTAAACACAGTCTAGCTTCATCAACCATTAAGAAACCAGTTCAAACAATAAGTTTCAGAAACGATATCATCATCAACTCAAATCAAAACAACAATAGCTAATCTCAGAACATCATCATCATTGACATCAAGTAACCCACAAGGAGAGAGGAAGAGCATTCAGAATCAGTGACATTCAGTAACGAGAAAGGAAAAGTTTTAGAAGCAAAATAATACAAGTTTCAGAACATTTGTTCATCATCAACCAAAACAATCTCAGAACCATTCCATCAACAAAAATCCAAATGAAATAGTTTCAGAGGTGATCATCATCAACATAACAAAGAAGAGGAAGAGGTTCAGAAGTGAAAAAAGAAGCAAAATAGTTTCAGATCTGTTCATCATCAACTAAAACAAAGAGCAAGCACAGTTCTCAGAACACTCATCATCAAACAATAAAAAAAATACAGAAATACCAGAAGCCAAAGCAAGCGACCATCACGCTCCTCCTCCGCCTCCGGCCACCAAGAGCGTCGCCGTTCCAACCCTCCATCCATTCTTCAGAAGCCAATCACCAAGGTATAGTTTCCTTTTTCCTCAATTTTTTTGCCTCTCACGCATGAAACATCAAGGAATCAAAGCATGCAAACAATAAAATGTACAAAGATCATATAAATGCAAACTGTAAAAAATCCTAAAGAATCAGAACAAGATAAAGATTATATCTTTCAAACCATCAACGTGGACCGCTGTGAAGACGACAGAAGGGGGAGGCAACGCTCTGGCATCTTGGAGGAAAGAGGAAGAATCAAAGCTTCGTTTGAGAAAGACAAAGAGAACGAAGAAGATGAGAGGAGGCGCCGCTGTAACCAAAACTGAAAACTCTAAATTCTGAGTACACTAAACAGAACCCTAACAAATTTGTTCAATACTTCATTCTGGGCCTGTGCGCCCCAATTGCCTAAGCCAAATACTTCTACTAGCGCCTGCACCCCCCCTTCAATCTAATTTTTGTTTTTTACTTGGGCCAAATACTAATCTTAGGCCCATCACCTTCATCTCTTCTTATTTTTTTTAAAGAAACTATTACTTTTCTTTTGATCTTTTTATTTTGATAGTAATTACTTTAATTTGTCTTAACATAATTTTAATTACTAATTAATTTGTCACACAATAGTAATAGAGTTTTTATAAAAGTTTTCTTTAAAAAAATACATAAATAATAAAACTTTAACTTAAATAATTTTTCTTTTCTTTAAAACTCTTTACTTACATAATTAAAAAAAATACAATAATAATAATACTTAAGTCTTTATTAGATTAAATTTTATTTGATCATTTGTAAATAACCGCATACATCTCATAATACTTTTGATTCTCGTTATTTTTACGTTTTGTTGCAATTTGTTAATATTTGAATTGCGTCGATTCAATTTGGTTGTAACCCATAATATTTGGGACTTTATTCTGATAAGACTCATCCCCATTTGTAAATAATCTATACCCCCATCCCCGGATACTCTTTTGTAATAGCTTAGAATTTTATTCTCGCACTTTATGCTTTTTAAATATACCATGATTAGAGATTAGGGTTTGTATGTGAAGGTCTAAAATCGATCGCTAGATGACCTAATACAAAGACAAATGCATGAAAATGACAAACACAATTCACACTTGCACCTCTAGGGTAACCTCGCTTATTGCCTTGGAAAATGCAATCATGTATCTCGAGTATGAGACACTCTAGCAAATGTCCCTTCGATAAGCAAAGATCATAGTCCCTCGATGACCCTCGACGTTGCCTCCGATAAAACGATCTCGTCCCTTACAAAATTTCTAGAGCGTCTCACAAGTTGCCTTCAATGATTGTATACGATGACCCGCGCCTGTCCCGTTTAGCATCCTAACACAAGGTTATTCACCAAACATAATGGTGAAATAACAATGTTAAAAGGGTTAAAAACATAAGAAAGATCTTTGAGTAAAATAGGGTAGACAACTCTTAGTTACTTGATCAAAAATCTTGCAAAACATCCTTGCCATTTTCAAACACACTTCACAACACAACTTCAAAACAATTTCAAAACAACTTTCAAAATATTGAAATATCTTTTCAAAAAGGCACACACCTTTGTATATATTCAAACAAGAATTATTACAAAGGTTGCCTAGACAAGGCATCTTTTTCAATACATTTTCAAAACCACACATACCAAGCACCATTTCAAACAATTGAAAAGCAAAATGCAAGTGATCTAAAACAAGTAACTAAAAGCCCATGGATAACCATGGATGAAAAGGGTGCTAGCACCTTCCCTTTTCATAATCTACCCCCCGAACGCAAGAAAACATCTCAAAGGTCTTTCATATGCTTTTTAACCTTTCCTTTGGATAAAATAAAAAGTCGGTGGCGACTCTTGCTAAACCGAACAAGTGTGAAAACAAACGCAAAACCTTAAGTCAGTTCTCCCACCGTATCACAGTCGACACATAGTTACATAGACTATAGACTTTATTATTGATCCACATGTGTCGACTCATACATCGTATGTGTCGACACATAACTCTATTTTTCATGTAAAAACACATTTTAATGCATGATACCTTTTCCAAACATGTTCTAAATGCATTCTAAAATTCTTAATGCAAAGGTGCACATAAAGACTCAAAGATACCGTTCAATATACATAAATGCTAAAGTTATCCTAGTTTGAACATCAAGCAAACATCTAATTGGGCAAGTGCACTCACAGACCCCCTTGTACAAAACGTTCTTTCGCATTATTCCAAATATCAATGGTGTTTTTCATAAAAACGATTGATTGGCCAATAGATTATGAGACATAACACATAATCCAAGAGTGAACAAACATATTGCAACGAGTCCAAGCACGAATACTCGAATCGAAAGGATCTATTGAAATCGAAATTGTTCCATCAACAAAATCAAACTTCATCTTTCCATCAAGAGCTCTGCGCGGTGAAAACGTTCAACTGTGATAGTTAGATCCACTGAGAACCGGGAGTAATGAAGACCGAAGATAAACTATCACTAGGATGAACATAGTAGGAGCTTGTTTGATCCAACACGAAATCAAAAGAACAAGAGTTACTAGAGTTACCATCGGAATTGACAGTGTTGCGAGAAGCCATGGATCCTCGAGCTCAATACCATATTGAAAGAAAATCTGTAACGAAAAATTAACGGAATCTAACATAATTTAGTTGGAGAATCTAACCAACTGATATCATAAAATGGTTTTCATTGAACCAAAAAAAAGTGTTAGTGTGGCCTTTATATTTGTACATGGGATCCAACTAAGTAATCTCACTCATTGGATCAAATTAAGTAATCTCAATCATTACATGAAATGACTAGTATTACTTAATACTCTCTCTGTTTTAAAATTAATATCGTTTTTGAGAAAAAAATTATTTTAAAATAAACGTCATTCTCATTTTTCAATATAGTAATGATAGTTATTTTTCTACTTATGACTTATAATTATTACTCTGCACACTACTAATAAATTAATAAGACTAATTTAATAAAAGTGCAACATTTTATGAAAATATGATTGCATTTCTTAATTTGTGTGTAAAAATCTTAAACGACACTCATTTTAAAATAGAGAGAGTAACATAATTCAAAATCGTTTGAGCTTATCGAGGATTTTAACGTATTGGCAAAAAGTAACCGCCTATTAAAATGGTACACTAGTATCTCTCGTGATTGTATAAAATTAGATTAGATAGTAATATTAGTCAACTAGATGAAATTGTATTTGATTATTAATAGAAATATCATATAAGTTAAATGTGAACTTTTTTTTTAATGAAACCAAAGTAGTATTAGTCAACTAGATGAAATTCTATTTGAAAGAATTCCATCATAAAATTATCATGATCACTGCTGGCTACTCTATTAGTCGAATGGGCGAATTGAATATTATCATATCTATTAAAAACTACTAGTGTCTGATTTGATTCTTGCGTAAAAGTACTAAAATAATCAACGGGCACATTGAAGTTCAAGATTTCAAACATTAAGTGTTTAATTTAATGTTTGGTAATAAACTTAAAGAAGCTGGCTTTAAACGCAAGTCCAAAGTTCATTGCATCTATACTACCATGAGTCCATGATCAAATAATCGTTTTCTACTTCAATGTTTCAAACATCAATTTGTCCAAAATTTTACATGAGGGGAAGGAGCATAGATATACAAGCAAATGGATATGTATTCTACAGGTGCATGTCGATGCTCCACGTCTTTACAATCGAAAGAAATTTCCTATCAACTTGTCTGCAATAATTCTTTGATATCATATCCTTGTAACTGTGTATACAAGAAGGTGAAACAATCTTAGAATCAAGCAAAATGTCTAATTGCAAATACCAATTGGATTTGTATTGCTTTCGGAGAAAGCACATACTCACATATGAAGCGCTGACACATAAACATTAGTAACAATTTATAACATTTATAGTAATTGAAGGCAACCACATGTGTCAGTGTCGTATTGGACACTTAAACGTATCGGAAACTGGACACACTTTCAATCAAATATGTCGGCGGTACATAGGCAGACATGCATAATGTTAAAGAATATACCTGGAGAAAAGTAAGAAATAATATAACTCCTGAATTCCAGAAAGCGTGGATGGTGATGGGAGTGAGAAGGTTGCGAGTTTGAGCATAAGAAATCCCGAGAGCACTCCCTAGAACAAACAACTGGGGGAATTCACCGGGAGTGAGATGTGCAAGAGCAAACACAGCAGCACTAAGGACGATAGCAATCGGTGTAGGAACCCTGCAATGAGAAGATTAATCATAAATGAGAAAATTTGTACCTGTAGGTAACAATCAATAATTCAGATAACACGTCTCAAACATTCAATACCACTTAGTCAGGGAAGTCATGAAAAATCCTCGGAATACCGTCTCCTCAAGAAGTGGAGCAAAAACACCTGTGATGCCTACCAAACAAGCAGTGCTACAAAAAACAAATAAACACAATGAATAACTTACTTGAGAATCTGAGATATTGAACCTAGATGGAAATTTGACGATTCTTCTTTCACCATCGATAGAAGAATGTTGATTTTAAATTTCAGTCGGTAACTATGTAGTCACTATTCTTATTTTTAAATGCTTGTGCAGCAATCACCTAAGCAACATTTTATTGCAACTATCTGCAATTTCTTTAGTCAAACAATTTACAATAAGGAACCTAGATACCTTAAAATACCTGACACTTGAAGATCCAATCAACGGAAGCAAGCGAACAAGAGCATCAGTCTGAAAAGCGGTTTATAGAAAGCTAGTAAGAGGTCTCCACGAGGTTGAAAACTCAAACAAATCTTGTTATGTAAAGTAATCTTGAATAGAACATAAGTAATAACCCTTGCAAGACAGTAATTATTATACTAAAGAATAATTAAGATAATCGATTCATACTCATCATGCGATAAAGCTACTTAGCAAGCATGACTCATACAGAACATGACTCAACCTATAAAACCGGCTTGAAATGTGAGGACGGCTCAACAATTATAAGAGCTAAAAAGGCCATATCTCTAAAAAATACGGAGTGGAGCTCACCCATTACACCCAACACAATGAATGTGCCGGAGACTGCAATGAAGACAGCATAAATTTCCCCAATTAAGGTGGCTAGGGGATGACTGCAATTAGAGCATGGATAGGCAACCTAACAAAGGATCAGTCATAGGATCATAAACCGTCATAGATTTTATAGAGCTAACTCAACCTACAAAACCAACTTGTAGAGCAATGGACCCAACCACTTATAACCACTATTTAGGGCATATCACTATCCAATACAGGACTCTCAACACACATGACTAGACATCAGGAAGGTAAGCAGGGTGACTCGATAACAGGTTGTCTAACGGATCTAGGATAAGCTCTTCTACCATCTTAGATTTTGGGTCTAACTCAATCCCAGAAAATCAACTTATAGAAAATAAGAACAACATTAACATTTGCCAGTGAATGATCAAAAATAAATTATTAACCTCTCTTTGTGGGGTTTCTCCACTAAAGAAGGACACAGCAACTCCTGTCAATCCAATGGCAACTAGGGCACCAACAAGTCCAACTCCAGCCCACAAAAGCCAACCCTTTTGAAGATTAAAAGGTTCCCTCAAATCTGCAACAAATTTTTACCATTGAATTGAAATAAGTGTCAGCACATAACATATTCTAATTCTTCTACATATAAGCCAGTTGCAAACCGAACACTAAACCAACAAGCTACAAAGTGAACTCATTAAATTATTAACACTTCCTTCATAGTCTTAAGGGTATGACGCGCCAATCATTAATACTTGAAAAGTTCTTAAATCATAATTACCATATTTGAAGAAGTCTTCAGGGAGTGGCTGGTAAGTGTTGAAAACACTATATATGATTGCAAGTACAGCAGCAGTTGTGATGCTGCCAAATAATAATAACAAAATGTTATCTTCACATATTCCTAACAAGTCAATGACCAAATGAAGAGAAACCATACAAGTGCAAGTTGTTTCACAGTTTTCTAACCAACTTCAAGAATTACAATAGTCGAGTTGAATGAATTCGCATACATACCCCTGATCTAAAAAGAGTAACTCTGCCTTTTCATCTAAAGTTAGTGCATCGGGTCGAATCCCTAGATAGGGTAGAGCCGTTGCCTCAACCAAACCTGTCAACACAAAACTGCCTGGGAATAAATTAACGGCTCAAATTTATGAACATTGAAGTTAGTTATAAGTAATAAGTCTCCCAAGTACACTACTCTCAGCCGCAAATCGCATAAACTGCTACGCTATATTGCATTATTATATTACATATACAACATGAAACAATAGATGAATATATAAAAACTACCCCAATCCACAAGCAAGAGAGGTTAATGAAACTGTTTGCCACTCCCAAGGCACCTCCCATCGCTTAAGAATAGGCCATTCCGATCGAGAGTCCTGCAAGAAGAACAATGCAATTCAAATTACCTCGAGAAAAAAAAACATGTCTTTGTCCGTATCTGAAACCAACACTAATACTTTGTGATTTCAAATTCACATATATATAGACGTGTCAATGTCGGTGCCATGATTCTGGTGTCTGTGTTTCGTAGATCCTCGTGCAAATAAAACTCAACAACAACAAAAAAAAAACTCTATATATATATAGTCTATTGGTGTTATTGCAATGGACTCAAGGGCATCAACAAAAAAAAACAAAGTGGGTTTTGAAAAAGGAGCAACCTTGTTCTGAAGTTTGGTGTCAGAATCGTCTCTGGCATTGAAGAAGCAAAGAGATGAAAGAGGCCTTTGAGAATTGAAAGGGTAATGGTGAGGAAGAAATGCAGGGATTTGATTTGAGAAAGAAAGTTTATGGGAGCGAGGTAGAAGTGATGGTGAATAAAGAGAAGAAGCAACTAGAATTGAGTTTGAAATTGAAACCATATTCTATACAATGGAGAGTTTGGAAAGTGGAATACTCTTCTTCTTGATGTTTTTGCTGTGTACACCACCAAGAGATAGATAGCATAGGATAAGGCTAGATACACTTGCATTTGGATCAATTCAATTTCGTGTATACATTTATTTATTTATATTTTATTTTTAAAGTCCATTTACAAATACACAAAAAAAAAATCATAATTAAAGCTCAATCTTAAAAGATAATGTATCCTCTACGACGCTAACATAAAGGGGAAATATATTTAATATCAATGATCTCATTAAGAGATTTTTAATCAGAAAACTCTGAATTTAAATCATTATCTAATTCCATTTGTAATTATCGGTCTTAATGAAACGTAAACTCAATCTGTTACATGACTCTGACAACTAAAGACTTATGGAGTTATTGTTCTGATAAAGACTTTCGATTAATCCAAGCACAATATCGCAACTTTAAGACTATATAAGTTTAATACTACTAACACTGAACATCTACACTTATTAACCATAAAGCATCACGATTTATACTAATTTGAGTGTCATGGTATTTACATGTCTTCTCCATTAAGATCGCGCGAATATCATGCCTGCATTCATGTCATGTGAACTTGAGTTTTAGATTAAAACAAATTTCATTAGATTGATATATTGTCAATGTCAAAATTTCATTTACATTGAATTATTTTTAACCTTAAATTTTATTTAGTTAATTACGATTCAAACTCGTAAGAATCATCCTATTGTTGAAATATTTTATAATTTAAACCTTATTTGATTATTATATTTCAATAATTATTATGTGGACATATATATTTTAATTATATTATCTATTTATCAAACTCAAGAGTCTTAATTGATTAAGTAGTCAAATAAATTTAAAAGACTAATTATATTTCTATTTAGTAATTAATTATTATTAATTAATGTGATATGAGCTTAAATATGAATGGATGTCAGGATGACCCGTTTCAGAATAATGGGAATCCTAAGTGGCCGTCATCCTATACATAGGCTAGGATCTCTAATATATTGTACACAATCAGTATATCTCTTCTCCACATTTGGAGATTATTCAAGAAATTAAGAGTACTAGTTGAGGAAGAATCATACAAGTTATCAGGTGTTCATTGTTTGTCTTTTAACTTTCAGGATTACAGCCAACATAAATTTTCTCAATAGGTCCAGGTATTTATGTAATCTCTTCTCTCATATACTAACATGTCGTAGATCATGTAATTATATACATGTTCATATTATTTTTTCTATTCTGCACTAAAGTATATACATAATATGTAGAACATGTATATGTGATTAATTGATATTGATTTATTTTCTAACAAGTGGTATTAGGTCTTCATGTTAAGTTTATTGAGATTTATCCACTAAACTTCAATTCTTTTTGTATGGATATGCGATATTAAAATATATATTTGAAATTCATGATTGTGTGAATTTTTTTTTCAATATATGAATTATTATGATAATATTTGAAGATGTTTTCTTTTATTTGTTAAATCATCGTAATAGAATGAAATTTATGATTGTGTGTATATTTGTTTTGAAATAATTTGTATGGTTTAAGTTATTTCATATAAATTCATATGTTTGCATGTTCTCTTATGATCTTTTTATATAAAGGATTATACATCTATATATTTTGCACAAGAATGAATAAAGTTTTCTTTATGGATGATTGCAATTATTTGGTCTTTAATTGCATTATAATCTTAAATATATATTTTGATAATGATTTTGATCAAAGAAATTTAATAAAAATAAAATTTTATTTGAATTTAAATATTTTATTGTGATATATATCACAAATTTTAGATTTGTCAAATATAATTTATTGTCATCAAATAAAATTTTGAATTTGATATGAATATTTTTTTGAAGCAACGTATTTAGGAAAATTTTGGTTTTTTTTTTTAAGATATGTTATTTAATATATTTTATGATAAATATATTTGAAATTGCATATTTAGTTATGATTGATGTTTGAGAATTATAAAATTTAAAGTATTTTTCTTTTAAAGAATTTTGATTTTCAACATTTTATTGGTGGCTATGGAGAATATATTTAAAAATATATATTCATGTCAATTATTTGGGTGATAAATATTAAACTTAAATTTTATTTTGGAGATTTGATTATTTATTTTGAATTTACAAAGTTTTATCATCAAATCATTTTATTTGATTTTATTTTTTTGTTTAGTCTTTCAATTTGATTTACATAAAATTTACACTTATAATTATATTTTGAGAGATAAGACAAATATAATTTTTTTAAAAGAATAGAGATGACAATGGTATCCATGGGTACGAGTACTAGTTTTCCGCTATTCGTCTCGTTTAGTAAATATGATACTCGCACCCACTCCATATCTGTGTTGGAAATCAACTAAAATCTATGATGAATTTCCCTTCAATCTTGATGAACAAGATTGTTATCACCATACAATGACAATGAATTATGAGAAAAGAGAAGGAAAAAAGAAAACATTTATTTTTCTGCAGAGTTTCTCTCTGCCACAAACTGTAGAAACTTTGTTATTCACTTGCAACTATAAATTCTGTGAATACAACGAATTGACTTGATTATAAAAAAAATATGGATTACTCCATCTATTTATAGATTTAGATTAACTTGCTCCCTAAGCCAAAGCTCAAAACTATAAAAGTCCAAAATACCTATTTTGGAACTAAATCAAATCTATTCTATTTTTGAATTTTTATTAATAGAATAAAAATATATTAATAATAATAATAATAAAGGAAAAAGAAATAAAATAAAATTTAAAAAAAAGAAATAGTAATGAAAATTTGGGCCAGGGGGTGCTGAAGTAAGGCAGGGGTTAGAAAGTTAGCAACAAAAAAAAAGAAGGCCCAATATTGGGTCCAGACACTGCAAAGAAATCAAAAAATATAAAAAAGGTGTGAAAAAGAACAAAAGGCAGCGCGCTGGGTGTTGAACCCACGCCATCTTGGTTACCAGCGTGCTGCCTTACCACTGGGGTGGCTATACATGCGTTTAATTATGTCAAATCATAAATATATATTACAAATCAAGTTCATGGCCTGAACTTCATCTTCAATCTCACACCCAGCCAGAGTACATGTAACTTCTTCATCTCTCAACAAAAATGGAAAGTACAAACATGAAAGTTGTGGTATTTCTTCCCACGAATCCAACCATATAAATAACTAAAGCTAAAAGTCAAAGATGAGAGAGAATTTTCCTGGCCCTAATTTAAAACCTAAAAATTTCAGAAACTTCAACTCTAAAATTCTCTAAGCTCAGGCCATATAAATGCAAACTATGGATATGTACAGCTTTGTGGCAACGAGGTCTACATTTTATCTTTGAAAATGAAAGCTTAACAATGCCTATATGAATAGTTCAAAATTCAGAAAACTTACTTTACAAGAGGGTGTCGTGTTTTGAATTTGAGCAGCTTTCAATGAGTTCTAGTGATTGGGTTAGCTTCCTCAAGTTCCCAGGAAGCTAATGTGATGCTTGGCTTGTGCTGAAAGTGGCTGAGGAGTTCTGGAGAAGTCCACTTGCAGTGCTCTATTTTTGAGTTTGGATAATGGTGGAAATGGAGTTACAGAACTGTAACAGGTATTGGGATGAGTTGTATTTGATGTTTAGAAGCTTTAGGAACCAAAAGGCTTGGAAATGCACGAGGGAGATGTGAGTTTCAAGTTTTTGGTCAGATTATGCAACAATGGAGGTTTTGTGTATGATTCTGAGTTCTAGGTAGTTCGAGGGCTTAAGCATGCGTGTGTTTTGATGCAAACAACTTGTGCATAAGTAAGTAAAAGGTTCTAGCACTTGTGAGGGTCAGAAGTGCAAGATATAGAGTTATGGCTATGTTACTTGATTTTGAAGAAAAGTGAAAACATGGTTTCAAGGCAAAGTACAAGCATAGGCTGAGTTGTTTTAAGGCTTTAGACAAGTTTCTTTTGGGTTATAGATTGTGTATGATCAGAAGAAAACAAGTGAAAAGTTCAAGAACTGATTTTGTGCATAAAGCTACTTTTCTAAAATGGCAATGTGCACTTTCTTTCCAAAATGGAAATAAGCATGGACAATGCATTGATGCTTGAGTTGAAGCTTCTTACAGCTGTGAAAACATTTAATTATGGAGTGCCAAGCAAGTTTGAGGCCTGCAAAGAAAAGATTATGCAGCCTAGCATGGATTTGAATTCTTGCTCATCACAAAATTTTGCCTTGTAAGACAACTTGAAACCATAACTTCTGACCTTCGATTCTACTTGTTCACAAATGATCTCAAGGAGTTCTTGGACTTTTTATAAAGCTTGTAATGTTCTCTACAACCCCATATTTGAATCACTTTTTCAAAATCCAAATGTAACTATGTGAAACTTGGATCATAAGTTAGGTCAAAATCCTGACCAAAATGCTCAAAATTTCACTAAGTGTTTTAGTTTCATGACCATAGTTTCATGGATTAATAACTTGATATCCAATCATTTATAGGAGGAGTTGTGTAAAGAAATGTTTTATATCTCATTGAGATCTACAAATTTCATGTTGAAAGTTTCTTTTGAATCATCTTGTATCATGGTAAAAAATTGGCTCAAAGTTGTGAAAAAATATGAAGTTTTCAACACAAAAATTTCTAAGTTTGGAAACTTTGACTTTTCAAAATGAAATCTTGACTTTTTGATTTCTTGATGAACAAGTTTCATATTTTGACATGTTTTGATGAATTATGATCTTTGACACTTGATTTTGACCAAAAAGTCAAAGTTTGACTTTTCAGTGTACAATTGACTTTTGATCAGTTGACTGAAAATCAACTATCAATCAATTGATCTTGAGGGATGTTTTGAGTCATGCCATTAGTTAAAAATGATGCAATTTAATCCTTGAGATCATGTTTCTAACCAATCAACCATTTGCTAGGTCAAAAATCAGAAATTGCCTTTTCTCAATCAAAACCCTAATTTTGACCATTTTGCCCTTTTGA